ACACGTACACCACCATCATCATCGTCACATCATACAGTTGTTATAACAACAACTGTACAACGAACACCATTATCAACAAATAGAAAATTACAAATGATTGATGTTAATGTATGTCAACAAGAAAATCATCTTTCAATAAAACGTCTTAAAAAACGACAAACATTAAATAATTATTCACCATTATTTAATAAATCTACACCAGTACCAATACGTCTAGTATGAAAATTTGAAAACAAAAGTTTAATTTTGTTTTTCTTTTGTATGTATTTAGGAATGTAATGTCAATCCGTTTATGACATTAAATTCAACAAATGAAAGTAAACCACAGAAACGTAAACGTTCATCATTAAAACAAATGTAAAATAAAAAATAGAAAATTATTTATCACTTTTGTTTTTTTTTGGTTTTCTATTTTAGACTGTTTGATGAAGAAAATCTTGAAGAAAATTATCGAAGAAAAAAAGTATAATAAAATAAAAAAATTTTATATTAATTCTTTTCTTTTTTTTTTGTTTTTGAAATAGCGTTTAGCATTAAAACAATGTAATGTACATCGTTTTAATGAAGAATTTCATACTCAATCATTACTTGGTTCAGGTGAATTTGGTAATGTTTATTTATGTGTTAATCGTCTTGATGGTTGTGCATATGCAATTAAAAAATCCAAACGTCCTATAGCTGGTAGTTCATTTGAGTATGTTAAATTTAACTATAAATTTCTGTCAAAAAAAAAATTTTTTTTTGTGTTTTCTAATAGAATGCTTGCTTGGAAAGAAGTATGTGCACAAGCTGTGCTTAAACATCAAAATATTCTTCAATATTACTCAGCATGGGCAGAAGATGATCATATGTATATTCAAAGTGAATTTTGTAATGGTGAGTACTTAGATTATTAATCGCATATGTGAAACATATGTGTTATTCACACTTAATTTCTGTATATATATATCAAATATTTCATGTGTGTGAATTTTTATTCTTTTGTTAGGTGGAAATTTAGCTGAACGTATACGTGATAATCATTATCGACAATGTTATATGGATGAAAAAGTTTTACGAAAAATTTTATTACATATAGCTAATGGTTTAGCATTTATACATTCGAAAAATTTAGTTCATTTAGATATTAAACCTGATAATATATTTATATCAATAAATGATGAATTATTTGAAGAAAAAAATATTATTTATAAAATAGGTGATTTAGGACATGTTACTGATATATATGATCCATTTGTTGAAGAAGGTGATTCAAGATATTTAGCAAGAGAAGTTCTTCAACAAAAATATCAATGTCTACCAAAAGCAGATGTTTTCTCATTGGCACTTACAATATTTGTTACAGTAAGTTTTTAAAAAAACATTTTTATTCTAATAAATTTAATCTCAAATTGGAATTAGTTTGATGGCAGTACCTTTCTGAAAGATATATACTGATTTTATTGACCAGAGAGTGCAGAAAATTAGAATTAATTCATTAAAAATGATTTGAAGACTTAAAAATTCTAGGCAATGTATTTATTAGTTTTTGCAACAGACCTTCTCTCCAAGATGCACTAAATCTCGAGTTACAGACATACTGAATATTCTCTTGTTAGTTAAGAAAATAATGAGATATTTCTATATCATAGTGTCGAATATTCTGATAAATAGATTACTGAAGAAAAGACATTGTATTATCACATTTCTTATAATTTCCTACTATATAAAATCGAAGTTGAATAAACATCTTATATTATTATTTAGTAACTATGAAATTTAATATCAAACTTTCGATTTCAAGTAACAATACACTATAATAATTTGAATTTTGTATTTCAAGGGTACAAATAGTATACTTCCTAAAAATGGTGATGAATGGGATCGTATACGTGATGGAAAATTACCACAAATAAAACATTGTTCTGATGCATTTAATGATTTACTTATTGTAAATATTTTCATATGAATTAAAGAAAAAAGAATTTTTTGTTTTTTCTTATTTTCTAATAGACAATGATTAAACCTGATGTTAGTGAACGTCCATCATCATCTGAATTAGCTGAACATCCAATCGTATCACCAGTGAGTGAACGTAGTAAAAATGAATTATTTGATGAATTACAAGAAGAACAAAGAAAAAATTCTATTTTAGCAAAGTAAAAAAACAAAAAAAACTAAAATTTTTATTCAAATAGAAAAAAAAAATTTATTAATATTTTTAGAAAACTTCTCGATTATATGTTCTTAGCTAATGAACTTGAACGTGTTTGTTCACAAATCCGTGCTGTTGATATGAATAAATCTCATGGAGAATCATCACCATTACAACGTTCAAGTAGTCTTAATGATTTTCGTCTAACATCAGTATTGTGATAAATTATATATTTTTCTTTTCTCTCTTGCTTAACTTATTTTCTTCTATATATATAAAACATGTAATCATTTATTTTTTTCTGTGTCGAATTCGGGTAACAAAATACTAAGAATTATAAAGAAAAGAAATAATAAGATTTTAACTTTGTTCTGATATATATGTGTGTGTGTGTGTCTGAATTTTACTCTTTTATCTTTCTTTGTTCAATTTGTTATTCTTCATGTATATTATTCGTCTTCGTTTATTAATGCCATTGATCAATTGTTGTACAGATTGTTTTTAAACATATATATTATACTCGTATCCGTTCTGTTCTTAACTAAAAACAAAAATTATGTGTGTGTGTGAAAAAGAATCAACGAATTGTTATCTATGTCTCCCTTTCTTTTTTTCCTTCGTTCGCTGTTAATTATTGAATTTCTTCTATGAAGATATTCAATATCTTTTTTTTCTCTTATGATGTTCATTGTTTTTTTTTTTGTGTTGATTATATCCTAAATGTTGTTATATATATATAGATATGTATATAAACATACACCTGTGACTTTGTTCTTCGTCTATATTTCTTGTTGTTTTCTTTTTGTCTGGCTCTTGAAAAATCATTCGAATAAAGATTAAAGAAAAATATAAATTATTGTTTGTATTTAGGAAAATATTAATATAGTGAAAGAATTAGTTGGAGTTTTAGAATTATTTGTTTAAAATATATTCAAAGTTGATGAATTTAATTCAATTATGTATTAATGACAGATGTCTGAAAATGTCTCGGATATATAAATATAAGAGTGTGACAAACGGAACGATAAGTTCTTTCATATCTGTTGATTGCTGTTTTATCCTGCATGAGAACCGACGTGGAGACCAATGAAGCGATGCCTTTCAGAAAATCGAATTCGTCCGCTCGAAATTTATGGCAATTGTTGCATGTAGAGTGTGTTTTCACTGAGGTTATCGATTAAGGACAGGATGGCAGTGGCCTTGTCTTTCGCAAAATGTTGAACTTTTTACAGTATCGTGAGAAATTTTTTAGAATTTCCAACCTTTTCCATTCTCAAAAACAGTCTGGAATATGATCTGCACTCTATCAAATAGATATTCGTCCTTTCGGAATTTTAAATTTTGTCACCTCCCCAGAAGAGAAAATCTCAGTAAAATACAACTGTCGATGCTACTAGCCCAAAAATACCGACTGAGAATTTATTGAGACTTGAACTATGTTCATTTTATACTGTGTACTGATAATATTTTATGGAACATTCATCTTTTAAGATACACTATATTGATATTTATTGAAACATGCATATCAGATCGGTCAATCGATTTCAGTTGTTATGAATGCAAAACAGAATATATAATAGATGTTTTCAAAGATTTGAAGATGAGAAATGACAATAGTCAGCATCAAGTTAGTTTAACACATTTCGTAGATTGCTATTAATATCTCTTGGACAAGGTCAATATTATCAGTTTGAGATTCTGATGGAATTCAATGCGCCATAGGTTGGTATTAAATAAGAGAGCATACGAAAGTTAATACCCTACATTGCTAAGGAACTAATTGTTTATTTCCCATTAAGTGACATTATTCAATTGAATATTATCAATTAACTTTCTTGCAATCAAAACTGATGATATCAATGGACCTACTGAATTTCTTTCGAATAGTTATGATTCATTCTGATTGATTATAATTATAATATTGAATAACAAATGTAAACATTCAATTCCATGAATAGTTTAATAAAAACACGAATTATTTTATATTCAATCTTCATTTATCGACCTCTATCGAAAATGATTTATGAACAATAGATGAATAAAAAAAAAAGACGATGACGAAATAAAACTTGACCTACAAACAAGAACTTTCTTTTTCTTTCTAGTTTTCTGTAATAAAACGTAGATGACGCTTTTGTCAAGTAATAAATTATTCAGTTATTTATTGGTGTGGATAAATATCCATTGATAAAAATCTTTCACAGAAAATTTTTTTTTGTTTGTCTTTCTACGTTCGATAATCTGAATTTTTTTTGTAACCTATTGAAATATATACATAATGGTTTTTTGATTTTAGATATTTCATTTTTTATTGTTATGCTAAAATTTCTTTAACTATATTGTCTCGTTAAAAAATAAGTACAAGTAAATCTAAGATTGTCTTTTTCTTTTCTATATTTAAAATGTCTTCATTTTTAAATGAATTTAGTTTTCATGAATAATCGATCTAATACTCGTTGGGGTTCTCGACAACCACCACGTCGTGGTGGTAGTGGTGGTAGTTATGATCAAAATTATAATGATTATAATTATGGTCATCATCAATATTCGGGAAGCAGTTATGATTATGAGTCATATGATCAATCACAATCAAATTATGATCGTGGTTCCGCATCATCAAAACGTTATTCATCAAATAGAAATACTTATGATGGAGGAAATCATTATTATAATCCACCACCTCGTCATGCAAAAGGAAATTTTGCAGAAAATAATAATAATAATAATAAAACGAATTCATCAGTTAATAAAAAACCAACAAACCAACAAGAACCTGAATCAAGTTCTCCAATACCGAATAAAGAACAAGAAATGCCAGGTAAACATTTTTTCTTTGTAGAAAAAATTAAATTTTTATATTCTTTGAAAACACGAAAGTTTAGTGAAGACTATATCTCATATTTAACTTTTCAGTTCTGCTTAGAATACTCTGAATTAATGATTAGTAATATATACGATATTATTACCTTGATTACGCAATATTCCGTCTTTCTTTTTTTTATCGCATGATATTTATATAAATTAATTCGAGAGTAAATATAAATAGTTAACTATTAACGACGTTATATAATATAAGTTCGAATTGAATTAAATACTTAAAAAAAAAATTTTGATTTTTTGGAAATCTTAATTTATTTATTTAATACTTGTTAATTATAAGTTTATATTGGAAGTATTAGTATCTTATACTACATCAAAATTTTTTGAAACCAGTTGGGAAAAAAACTATTTTTTTTTGTGCCTATTGTAAATTCCAAGGCAAGTCTAAAACGATAATGTATTCTGAAGAAATTATTGTTTTCGATTTCTTTCTGTTCAGTATTGTAAGAGCCAAGGAGGTGGCGCCCCTTCGAAGATCGAATTGATCCATTCGGAGTTTCGTATATGTGTTTTCAAAAATAGGTGTGCGCCTCTCCGGAATATTAAATCACCCTTTCGGGAAGAGAAAATCTGAATAAAAAATACAATTATTGTTGTACTCTATTTAATCTATAGTCGAAATTCCTTCAATTTCACTTGAACCAAAAATTGAACAATCAATTGAAATACCTCCTATTGAAGATTCAAAACCAATTGAAACTCCAGTTGAAGAATTACCATTACCTTCTCCTCCTCCTCCTCCGACAATACCGGAACCACCACCAGAAGAAAATCTTGATTTAATTCGTCAACAAATAACAAGTTATTTAACTGAACGTAATGATCGTTTAAAACAACGTCAAGAACTTCGTGAACAAAATCTTAATGCTGAAAAAAATCGTTTAAATGCTGAACAACAACAAGCAGCTATGACACGTTTAGATTCAAGTATAAAACGTATACCACCATTTATAAAACGTCTTCGTACGTTAACTGAACAACAACGTGATGCACTTTGTCGTGATATGCAAACATTAAATTTAACACGTTATATATCAGAAGTAGCAACAGCATTAACAGAAGCTAAATTAAAAATGAGTGATGTATGGACATCAGTACAAATATGTTCATTATTACATCAACGTTATCCTGATTTTTCATTATCACTTTATGAAAATTGGTTAAAAGTTTTACAAAAAGAAACATTAACAGAAAATTTATCAAAAGTTCGTGTTGATTTAAGATTATTTGCTGAATTAATAACTGTACATGTTTTACCAATAAATCAATCAATAAATCATCTTTTAACAACTTTAACAGCATTAATTAATAATGATAAAGATTTTTCAAATTTAACAATATTAATTAGTTTTTGTCGTTTATGTGGAGAAGATTATGCTGATATATTTTCAAGTAAAATACGTAAATTAATTATTAAATTAAATGATAATATTGATGATTTAAATAAAAGTATATTTCATTCAAATGAATTAAAACAACAAATACGAACAATGTTAAATGATTATTTTCAAAAATTATCTGTTTATCTTATTGATGAATATAAACAATTACAAAAACAAGAACAATTAATGAAACGAACAATGGAAGTAAGTTTAAAGTCAATGATGAATGAAAGGCGAATATGACTTATAATTTTCTTATCTATTGAGATTTGTATAGATAATGAAAAAAAAAAAACAATTGGGTTTCATATGGATACACAATTTTATTATTCTGAGACTTTATATTTACGAATTTTATTTCTTTTTTCTTTTTTGTAGAATCGTGGTGAAATCAATCAAGAAATTAAAGATAAATATGAACAAGCAAATACAACATTTCAAAAACTTTTACAAAATACTGAAACAATGGCTGATTTATTAGAACAACCAATGCCTGAATTACCTATTGAAGGTTAGTTTTTTTGATAACAGCAATATTCAATATACATCCGGATGAACATTAGATAAAACAAAAATAACGAAAGTCATACTTTAAAACACATTCTATTGAGTGGCGTAAAAATTTTTGTTTCGAAACTTTAAGATGAGTGAAACAATCAGGATTAGTCAGAAAATGCTAATAAACAAACTCAACAGAATGGACGAGCTTCAATCCAAGTCGTGTTTTGTTTTCAAGAAGGCCTTGGTTTTTCCATTAAACTTTTTTTTTCTCTTGAAACTTTGAAGCATTTCTATTGAAAATCGATAGTATATTCAGAATCAGCCTGTGAAACTACATCTGACGATGTATGACATCATACGACGGTTTCTAACAAAAAATTTTCTTAAAAAAAATCTAGACAAGTGTTCTTCACCGAAAAAAATATTTTACGTTATTTTCTGAGCAAAATGCAATCATTTCTAAGAATGGTTGGGTTGATCCTCGTGAAGTAGTTTTTAGTTATAGTAGCATGCACTAACTTTCTGTGCTCACAAAAATAGATTTTTCCTCTTCCAGAAGAGAAAGTTTAGATTAAAAAAGTTTGCAAATATTTAGTTTTGATTATTTATTTTATTTAACAAACGTCACTTACCTCATAGAGCAAATTACGAAATCTTTTCTTCGTTTTATTTTTTTATGTTAATGTTTTGAATGTGTATGATATCATTGATGAAATTCTATCAATAGTAGTTAATTACAATATTCCAGCAGAGATTAACTTTTAGTCTTTAAAATAAGAAAGAATATGTGTATTATCTTTCATATACATAACTTATTAATAATACTGACTATTTTTTTGTGTTATTAATCAAGTATATTTTAATTATACAAAAAATTTCTTTTGATCTCAAAATCAAGACTAAACTAAATGAACTTGATAATATTCTTATAGAAAATATTTTTCGATCGTTTTTATAACTGTTTGTATGACTCAAAATTATATAACTTTCTATTTTAACTTTTGTTGTTATAGTAAATTATCTTCTGAAAAAAATTTTTCTTTTTTGAATAGAAGTTTCAAAGAAGTCTAGTGATCGTACTGGTATTGATTTTTATCTTCCTGGACGATCTGATGATGTAAGTTTTATATATATATATATAAATTAATTTCGAAAATAAAAATATTTCTAAGGATCTTGGTGGTAATACAATTTGGGAAGATAGTGAAACAAAACAATTTTATGAAGATACTGTTGATCTAAAACTTTTTCTTCCTGGTTATGCATTTCGTGAACCAATTACAACAACAACGTCACAAACATCTGAAGGTATAATTAAATTCATATATCTATCAAGATAAAATAAGATTTTTTTTTTTTTGTTTTTAAAAGAAACTGAAACAGTTGATTCTGTACAAATGGAACAAGAAATTGAAAAAGAAGCACTTGAAGTAACATCAACGACTGATGCTGACGAAGAAGATACAACATTAGCTGATATTGAAGGTTAACAACAATAAATTCTTTTTTTTATTTCAAAAACAAAAAAAAAACCATTCTTGCTTTTGTAATTTTAGATGGAACTGAAGAAGATGTTGGAGCAAATAATATTAAATTAATGATGGATGTATTTGTAGCTCAATTACCAACATGTGTTAATCGTGAAATGATTGATAAAGTAAAAAAATAAGATTGTTTTTTTTTTATTGATAATTTAAATTTTTATTCTTTCAGGGTGCTCGAGATTTTGCAACAAATTTAAATACAAAACAAAATCGTAAACGTTTAATAAAAGCTCTATACACTGTTCAACGTACATATTTACATTTATTACCATTTTATTCACGTTTAGTAGCAACATTATATCCAATTATGCCTGAAATAGGCAATGAATTAGTTCGTTTATTAAAAAATGAATTTCGTGCACATATAAGACGTAAAGATCAAATATATATTGAATCAAAAATAAAAACTGTTCGTTTTATTGGTGAACTTGTTAAATTTAATGTTTTTCCTAAAAATGAAGCTATTAATTGTTTAAAAACTTTATTAAGTGATTTTCGTCATCATAATATTGAAATGTGTTGTAATCTATTAGAAACATGTGGAAGATTTCTTTATCGTAGTCCTGATTGTCATCGACGAACAGAAATTATTCTTGTAAAATTAATTGAAAATATTGAAATTTTTGAAAAATTTCTATTAATACTTTTTTTTTTGTTTTAGGAAATTTTAATGCGTAAAAAAGCAGTATTAACATTAGATAGTCGATATATAACACAAATTGAAAATGCTTATTATTATTGTAATCCACCAGAAACTCGAGAAATTGAAAAAAAAATTCGTTCACCAATACAAGAATATATTCGACGATTACTTTTTAAAGATCTTAATAAAATGACTGTTGAAAAAGTAATAATATTTATTTAAGAGAAATTTCGTGTTTGTTTTTTGTAAAACAGTAAGAATGAGGGATGACAATTAGAGGTGTACGCTGATTAGTTGAACCGCAAAGTCTTTAAGATATATCAGCCACGCCGCCGCTTCGACATAGAAGTTTCCAACGTCCTGAATCAGTTTTTGAAGATGTTATTGTCTAATTTCTTGTCAATAAGTTCTTTACAACCGTTTTATTTATTTTTTCTCGAAATTAAGAAAAGTTTTTTTTAAAAATTCATTGAAAAATTTTAGCTATCGCCGATCAATGCTTTGTCTTACATTTCTATTGATAGTTTAGTATTATGTTCTTTCTTTGATACAGTTGAAATGTATTACATTCTATCAATTGATTAATCTAGATAAATTCGTGAAAAAAATAAGCCTTGGTAGCCCTTCAAAATCTTGATAAAATACTAATTATAATATACAGTAAAACTTCTCTATATGAGCATCTTCCTATACGCGGCAGTCTATAGTCCGTCCAAATGAATTTTGCTTGGAATGAGCTTCTCAAATACGAGTATCTCCTTATTTTAAACAGTGCGCGTTTATTTCAGGTCGCATGAGCAACATATGTTTTACCACTCAGGTGCACAATATGAGAAAGAAAAATGATGTTATGTGTATTGCATTATGATAAACAATCATGAGACACATAAGAAAATAGGATGGACTAGCTGTAGACATTTAAAATAAAAAAAAAACAACAATATTAGATAACAGCGATAGTTCTTAGTGTAACATAAAAATCATGTCAACAAAATAAGGAAAAGATTATCTTGTGCAATTGAAAAGTAATTGCAACTAAATACTTATAGGTTGCAAGAAAAGAAACTTAAAACTTGATATGAAGTAAATGATTTTGGCCATTATTCACATTAAAGAATTTTTACTATAAAATACAAAGATATTTATCATATAGATTCTTCGTCAAATTCGTAAATTCAATTGGTTTGATTCGGAATTTCGTTCTTATGCTATAAAATGTTTAGCAGCTCCATATAGTGTTAAATTTAATTCAATTCAATGTCTTGCTAGTATACTTTCTGGTTTATCACATTTTTATGTAAGTCAAAGAATTTTCAAAAATAAAAAAAAAAAAAAAAATTATTTATTTATATAAAATTTATTAGGATGATGTAGCTATTGAAGTATTTGACAATGTTCTTGATGATATTCGTTTAGGTCTTGAAGTATGTATTAGAATAATTTTTGAAAATATATTTTGATATTTACTTTGTTTTTTTTGTTGTTTTCTTTTAAAGGTAAACATTCCAAAATTTAATCAACGACGTCTTTGTATGATTAAATATCTCGGTGAAATGTATAATTATCGAGTTGTTGATTCAATCATTATATTTCGTACATTATATTTATTAATAACATATGGTGTTAGTCTTGAAGGTAGATATTTAAAATAGACTGTTTTTTTTTGTTTTATTTTTAAATCAAAATATTTTTTTTATTTTTAAAGCATCGGAAATAATAAATGAACTTGATCCACCTGAACATTTATTTCGTATACGTCTTATTTGTACATTACTTGATACTTGTGGTCAATATTTTGATCGTGGTACAAGTAAAAAACGGCTTGATTGTTTTCTTAACTATTTTCAAGTAAAACAACAAGAAAAAAAATCTTTGTTTTTTTTTTGATTTCAAATAAAATGAAAATAATTTTTATTTAGAGATATTATTATTTTAAAAAAGAACAATCTGTATGGAATTCATTAACATATCCATTTCCACTTGAAATTGAACATATATTTGATGAATGTGTAATGGATTTACGACCTAAATTTAATAGAGCAAATTCATATGCTAAAGCATGTGAACAAGTAGAAAATATGGAAAAAGAATTTATAACTTTAATAAGTAAGAAAGAATCTTTTTTTTTTTATAAATTATTCAAACATAAAAAAAATGATAAACAATGTACTAGCAAAATGAGAGATATAGTAAAGAATAATTCAACATTTGAATCATACTAAGCTGTAGCAAACCAGATTTATCATAAAATCATCTACCAATACTACTGATTTCAGTATTAAATAAATTGAATTCAATAAAACATTTCAAAAATTTTTTTCTACAACTATATTTTTGGTTTTTAAAAATTACTCTCGATCAACTTCTCTATTGTATTATTAATTCATTAGAAAAAAATTTCAATTTTAATAAACAATTTCAACTATTTATCTTTAATTTTTCTATAGATGAACAACAATCCAAACTAGTATCAAAAGATATTTCATATCCATCACGTGATACAAATTTAGCACCAATTACCGAAGATGAAGAATTACCCATTAGAAATACTAATGAAGATGATCTACCTAATTCTCAGCGACCAGATGATGAAGTAAAGAATTCATTTAGAATTAAATTAAATATGAATTTTTTTTTATTGTCTAAAGGATGATGAAGATCAAGAAGAAAATAATGAAGAAGAAGAAGACAATGATGATGATGATGATGAACGTCATAGAACAGTACGTAGTCGACGTTCACGTCCAAGTGCTGGTAGTCGTGAACGAACAAGTGGTGGTAGTGGAGCTGATGAAGAATATCTTGATACCGATGATAATGATACAGTTGGTTTTGATGATGAAAATAATAATACAAATAAAAATTCAATTGAACGTACAAAAATTACTACTGAAGAAGATACTGAATTTATTAAAGCATATGATGCATTAGTTGCTGAATCTGTTGCTGTAAGTTTTTTTTGTTTTTGAATAAGTATTATTATCAAATATTTATATATATATATATATATTAATATAGCAACGTTCAAATGATTTAACAAAAATTTCAGCACCAGATATTCCTGTACCAATACATTTAAGAAAAAATAAAATACCATCAACAACAACTATAAATATTTCACGTAAGATATTTTGTTTTGTTTATTTGTTTATATATTTATTTATTTTAGAAAGCGATGGTGATGATGAAGGTGAAAATAATGTTAAAAAACCAGAAACAGTTAATTTTGTTGTTATGCTTAAAAAGAATAATAAACCACAAGTAAATTCTTGAAATACACATATATTTTTATTTTTTGAATTTTATTCTTTTAATGAATAAATTTTAGTTTTATAATATGGCTGTTTCAAGTACATCGGAAATGGCATTAAAATTAAAAGCTCGTGAACAAGTATAATTAATAGAAGAATTTTATTTAATAAACTATTTTGGTTTATTTATTTAGGCTGATCGTGAAGAGAAAGCTCAATTGAAAATTCTTACACTTAATATGTCAACACGAATGGAACAACAAGAAAATGAACAAGGTATGTTTATAAATAGAATTATTTTGAAATAAGATTGCTGTTGTTTTTTTTTTTGTTATAGATTCAATAATGAATGTAACGAATCGTACACCACCAGCACCAGGTTTAAATTTTAATCGAGAAAAAAAACCGAAATATATACCACCAAAAGGTGCTCCAGATGCTGATGCTATTTTTGGACCAAAGTAAGAAAAAAAAAAATAAATAAGTTTTGATTTCAATGAATTTTTTTTTTGATGACCTAAGAAGGCATAGTTACTTTTCATTTAAAGAAATCGATATAAACGAATAACTTAAATAAGATTAACATTCTAATAGACAGTAACAAATTTTGGCAGTGAATGTTAAGTTGTTGTTTTCTTTTTATTCTGGTTTGATATTAGAGATCGTTTTCGCCTACAGACTGATAAAAAAATATAAGACTGATGTAATTTTGAATTTTTTTTTCCTGTGATACCAAACATTCAATTTAAATCTACATAGTGGTTTGAATAGCCAATGAAGTTCTCTTTGAAATACATTGCATATTGAAATTTCATAGATGAACTATGATAGAAAGGGTTCAGAAAAATCAAACACGGTAGTTTTCAAGTCCTAGAAGATTGCGTAGAAGTTAGTTGTTAAGAGTGCTATCTTAAAGAACACAAAATTCTGAATAAAATGAGGGGTCACTGCATTTTCTATGATCTTCCCTGAAAAAGTTATAAGCATCACAAAGCTAAATTTATTATACCATTGGTTAAAAACGAATTTTTTGTTAGTATGATCCATATAACCTTTTAAACGAAGGTCATAGGAGATGTGGCAACCGCTCATTTTATTCAAAATTTTGTGCTTTTTAAGATAGTACTCTTAAAAACTAATTTTCATACAATCTTTTGAAATCTAAAGACTCACTGTATTTATTTTTTAAAAACCTTTCTCTCATAGTCTATCCATGAAATTTCTGTATGAAATGCATTTCAAAGAAAATCTCATGACTATTCAAACTACTATTTAAATTTACATTAAATGCTTGGTACAATAGACAAAAACTTTAATATACGTTGATCTTGTCAATATGATCTTTGTCGAAAGTTACATCATCGAAATTTGATGATTTACATTTCGACGATTCGATACACAACTGTTGATCTTCTATACTTGACCAGTACTGTAGACTAATAAAATTGGTTTAAGCTCATAAAAAATCTATGCTAATGATTATTTATTTCCGCATGTCTGTCAAATAATGATCATTTATATATGTATATTGTTTTTTCTTTCTATAGAAAACGGTGAACGAACTCCAGTGTGGAAATCACATCAGACTTCAGCTATGATGACTGTTATCATCTAAGTAATTGAAGACATATGGTATTTATGCATAATTCCATACAACATTGATAAAAAGAAAATCTATTTGACAGAAAAATAAAGGATGAAAACATGTAATTAAGTTCGTTGCGCAGTGATTCACTGGAGAAAAAAAATCTTATTGAAGTCTGTATTTTTTTTTGTGTTTTTTGTTTTGTCTTTCGTTTGTTTCTTTAATTTTTTTTTTGATTTCTACTTCATTATAAAAACATTGAAACAAAGACAAGCAATTAGATACGATCTCTCTTCATACATATTGTATACTTTTGAATTTTTCTTTTTTCTTGCTCCTGTTTGTTTTTTGTTACTTTGTACCTTATGCTTATCTGCTTAAACAGTCGTCATCATTATGTGCTTTACTAACGAAGAAAGAAGGAGAAAGAGAGATAAAAGGAAATGAAATAAAAACAAAAAATCTGTATACAATTGTATTAGTTGATTATATGTGATAAATTAGAAAGATTTTTAAACAAATTGAACTTGATTATGTCTGTTATAGTTCGTTCATTTCTATAGTGAATATGTAGCAGAAGTATCTTTTATATTACTTTACATCCGATTTGAGTATCTACAAGTCCAACAGTTAGAATTGTGTGGTGAGTCTGATGAATTCAATCTAACTGTACTAATTTAACATAATGACAGAAGAGATATTCGAAGATCGTCGCATTGCAGTAGCCTTTTTCCTTCGAGGACTGCAATAGATTTTCAACCGCAATAGACATCTATGATATGTAGATAAGAATAATAATATTGAATATGTAGCGTTTTCGAATCGATAGTTAGTTTCTAATTGATCAGATAGTTAGTGTAGGTTTATGGAGTGTTTTTTTTTTGATAGTTTTATATTTTCTAATTTTCAGTTGTTAATAGCTTTTTTTTTAACCCTTTGGGGACGGGTTTTTTTTTCTGTATATTTCGTCATAAATCATTCAACGTTTCTATTTTCTAAAAGAACTTATAATCTATTACTGGATATCTGAATAAAATAACCTAATTACAATCCAAATTATACCAAAAAACTCTCTGATAAATGCTTTCACAAAAACTAATCTCATATAGGAATCTGCGTGTTTTGAGATGCTAGAGAATCGCCATGGCCCCTTAAGGGACCAACCGTCCCCAAAGGGTTAAATTGAAAATATGATTTCGAATGATAAAATAGACATTATCATTTATGTATATAAATTTTACCAATGTGAATGAAGATAATAATCAAAAGATGTAATGAACATGATTATTTATCAAATATATAGAAATGTGTCGATTAGACGTATCCATTTTATCATTAAAAATTTTATTTTAATACATATTTTTAAGAATTCTAGGTTTGATGTAATTGTACAATAATATCAAAAATATTCTAGAAAGATGTTTATTTTTTTTACAAGAACGAACTTTGTAATGCATTTGATGAATAACGTTAATGACAGTCTCAGTTCGGTCATGATTCATCAAATGAAAAGGAGATGATAAAATTTCAATTATCATCATTTGAAGAATTCATACTCGAATGGTCGGCATCGACTGAGTAGGACTCATATAATAATATGATTTATACCGAATGACATGTTAACGATCATTGTTAAGATACACATTAAATATGAAAAGCGAACACCAAGTAACATGCTATTCACAATTACACATCGTAATGAACTTGTACTTAATTATCGAGGTTTACAATTAGCAATTCAATAGAGATAGATATATCCATTGTCTAGAAATTGAATACCAAGTGAGATTTAATTTTCTGCGCATGTATATGTCAGTCTTTCTAATTTCATGAATGGGATTGTGTGTGATAGTGTTTCAAGCCAATCTGATTGTAGAATGCCTTGAATTCTACTTTAATTGCTGTGGAATTTTCAATTTCTGAATGGTGGATACAACTGAATTGGAAGGGATCGAATCGAGAGTAACATCCGATAATACAAACATGCATTAAACTAATCAATAAAAGACCTATAGAATGAATGTGATATTCGTTCTGTTTTTTTTTATAGACGAAAAATTTGTGTTAATCTAATTAAACAAAAACAAAACATAAAATTCAATATAAACTCTAATCTTGTTTTGTTTTTGATATTGATCGTCTTGAATTTGATTCTTTTATATCAGACGTAGAAGAAGATAAGTTTTATAATATTCATCCAAAAGTTTAACACAAGTTTCATTAAATAAATATTTAAATAAATGTCGATATGTGTACCAAAATTTTCTTTCAAATATGTTATGTGTTATATGTGCATCACCAAATTCAGAAAAATTAGATTTTGTAGACCATTCTATGAATGGTTGTGATCGATCAAGACGTCCCTAAGAAAATAAATAAATATAACAATATATATATATACATTAATGAATTATTAACATACTAATAATCCTCGTTCATGAATTTTTAATTTTTGTCCATCTGTTGTCGTATTTATATAATCAAATAAAAACATTGTTATTAATAGTTGATCCATATCCCATCCAGTACCACCTTTTACTGTTGGTTGATCATATACGTCACGAAATTCTTGTCGTAAATAAAGTGAAATTATATCAAATGTTACTATTTTATCTTTAGTTAATAATAATGAATCAAATTTTTTTTTTTTATATCTTTTTGTTATTTCATAATCATAAGATCCATTTGGATATTGATAAAAATTTTGACTAATAGTAATTAATTCTTTATGTATAACTGATTGAAGAATCATATCACGCCATAAATAACTTTTCATATATAAATGACCCATTGGTATCATATGATATGAATGATTTCGTCGAAAAAAAAATCCACAACAATCACGATTAACAATAAAACCATCTGGATAACCTTTTTCTAACATATATTGTGTACGACGTAATGGTATTAAATCTGAATCACTAATTATAAAATAATCATCATCATTAGAAAAGTTTAATGGTAAAAATCCAATAAATAAACGAATTGTTTGTGATATTTTCATTGCATAATTTTCTGGACATTGAAATTCTAATATTTTACCACCAAATTCGTGAATATATTTTATAACAAGTTGAATATCATCAGGTTTTGTTTGATTTAATTTAATAAAATCACCAACTAATGTAACAATTACTTCATAACCTAATCGACGCCATGCAAGTACTATTATAGGCGTATAAAAACAATAAGCTTCATTTGATGAATGAATTGAACAAGCTACAAATGCATATTGTTTTGATAATGGTTCAACTCGTTCTTCTAAAATAGGTTCTTTCGTTGTCGTTGTCTCAGTAGTTGTCAGTGATCGTAAAAATATAGGTGAATCTTTTATTACTAATGATTTGTATGGTAATATACAAAATAATGCAATACACATACATAAAATACAGAAAAAAATTACAAGACATCGATAAGAAATTATCTAAAAAAAAAGAAAGAATATATAATGAGTACAAATTTTTCTTATTGAAAATAAGAAAATAAAATAATTAACTCACCTTATTACATCCACTGTTTTCTTTTGAATATGTTAGAGACATTGACAATATTCGTATTCTTTCGTTATTGACAATCAATACTTACCGCCTTATGAGACAAAACGAAAGGAAAAAATGACATGTTTTTTCTCCTCGCATTCTGCTTTGTATCGCAAAAATTCAATGATGCGTTGCAAAATGATGTATATATCTATATATATATCTATATATATGTATCCAACTAAACATTGATGACACTATTGAATGAAACGAAAATAATATTCATCTATCCAATGACTTTTTTGTTCATTTTTTCCTTTTAGACAGAAATTTATTACGTAACAAATGATGACCGAAAATTATGTAAACATTGTTACTGCTCGAGGTTATAAGTAAGCAATCACACTTTATGAACAATCTCGCCTATCATATCCAAACGAAATGATTGATTTAATTAAGTCATTTTATAATAAACAAAATATAATTATTGATCTTGGTGCTGGTACAGGAAAATTAATACATTTATTATGTTCAATTAATGCTGAAAGAAATAATTGCTATTGAACCAATATCAGCAACGCATGAAAATCTTAAAAATATTCCTTTAATTACAAAAATAATTAATGAAACAGCTGAACATATGCCATTTGAAGATAATACAATCGATATAATTCTATGTGGACAATCATTTCATTGGTTTGCAAATTATCGTACACTTATTGAATTAAATCATGTATTAAAATCAAATGGTTTACTTATACTTATTTGGAATTTAGCAGATAATCGAGAAAGACCATGAGCTCAAAATATATCAATTTCGATCGAATGAAACATCAAATTCTAAAACAATGGAATGAAAAAAAGTTTTTAATAATCAAAATTTATTTTCTTCATTAGAACATAAATAATTTACTTCTAAACATCCTGTAACACGTGAATTAATTATAAATGGAATTTTATCACTAAGTTTTATTGCAATATTATCATCTGAGCAACAAATAAAATTAATTGGTGAAATTTGAAAAATTTTATAGAATACTGAAGAAATTCAAGGTTTTAGAAGAATTTGATTTAAATTATCTTACTGATGTTTATTGGTGTTCAGAATTGAAATCATCGTTGTAATAATTTTATATCTTAGTAAAAGTGAATGATATTTTGTTTTTTTTTGAATTTTAATGACATTTGATTTTTGATGTGATTTACTTTGAAATATGAAATTCTATTCTTTCAAATGTTTTTATGATGTAAAATAATCTAATTCTTATGTTAAACAAGTTTCTATAAAGATATTTTCTCTAAGAAAGTCTTCAATACATCTTAATATAGTTTATTCAAAAAGCATTTATATCAATAGTAATTTACAAATGTCAAAGTGTCTTCATATGCGTATAATACAATATATCGAAATGTATATGAGTACACGTGATGTACCCAAATAGTAAAGGACACTTGTGACAGGTAAACAACATCGAAAGTATTGACTTATATGGATAATGAAAGTTTGAATAAAGGTTTATTTATTGTTGAAAAGAAGATTATATTAATTGATTTGATCTCTAGAAATCGAATTTTTAAGATCAGCGAATATATTTATATATAAATGTTGTAACGAAATTAGAATATAGGAAAAATTGAAATAACTCGCCAGATTGAATTGGTATATAAAATAGAAGTTTGAAGATTGTACTATGACTGTGAAAATATCTGTCGGATGTTGATTAGCTTCGATTCAGATGCAAAAAATCTTATCCATGGAAGACATTAGTTCGAATGAAAGTCGAATTCGACTCAATTCATACAAACAAATTTGAATAGAATAACTACTTTTTTTTCTTTATTGAACAATATCATATGGTTTCACATCAAATACTTTATAAATCAAAGTATTTTAGTCGATTTCACTAATATTTGTACAATCACTTCGAGAGTGAGGATATGAAGATCGTGTTAAATGAATATCCTTCTTTACCTATATTCAACCTTATCATTATTCTGAAAATGGGTGTACAAATGTTAGTACATAGATTAAAGTTCTTTGACTTGTAAATTGTTTGATGAAATTCAATGATATTGTTCAATATTAAACACTAAATGATAATTTCTAATTTGATTATTCGAAAAGATTTTCAATGATACATGAACTTTTATTATGTAATAATTGACATTTTTATAAGGAAAATAACTTCATTGATATTTCAGAAAAACGAGGATACAAAATTAAATTATTTTTAAATATTTAATAATTCTATTTTATCTTTCACTTTTTTCTTCTTCATGAACACTTAGAATAGACTTATCACGTAAAACTTTACTTCTTCATAAATGACTCAAATATAATTATTCATTCACATTTTTTTATTTGTTTATTTACTGTTAATAATCAATAAAAATAGAAAGACATATGAATATATAAGCAAAACCAGATCGTACACATCCGTAATTTACTGAACTAATACTTATTAATAACTAACGATTGCTAACAAATAATTGATTTTTTTTTCTCGTGATACATTGATTTGTGAATTTATATATTATTCATTCTATTTGATTTACTTTATAAATGAATTATGATATACATAAACATATTTTTCTTTAATAAAAAAAGTCTTTTTTTTTCTCTAATATCCTTTCTCAAAAGGTAAACATGCAAATGACAAAAACAATGTTTTATTTTTCAAACCTTTCACCATACTGAATAATCAAAACATTGACAACAACCATTACTAGTGACTTCTTTTGTTTTTGATAAAAAAAAAAATCAACTTAAGATGCTAAGAATTTATATATAAAAGAAAAGAGCATTCATCTTATTTATGTTTATTTATTCATTTATTTAAAAAAAATGTTTAATGTTTTTTTTTTTACATATATTTTGCAACAAGACTATCCATACTATTTGTAGGAGTTTTTTCAAATGCCGTAACTGCTCTCGGAGGTGGTGCTATTTTAAGACCAAAATTTCCTCCTGTATAATGTTCACGAGATGTTGTCGTGGCTGTATGTGGTCGTTCTAATGTTGTCAATGTGCTTTTCACTGTTTGTATTGTTTGATTTGGAAATATTTTTTGTGATGGTTGATCGGATCCGGTCGATATAAGACGAGGTCCAGCACTTTGTGCACGTTGACGAGATGTTGTATTGTAGTTATTATTAATATTATTATTCGGAATAACACGAGGTTGTAATGAAATAGGTACAACAATGTTAATTATTTTATCATTTGATGTAGGAAGTTTCTTATCATCATGTATATTATTCCATACAAGACATGATGCAACACTTGTACTACGTTGATTACATTGTTGTTCTAAAAGACGTGTACGTGTTGTTAAAAATCTTTCAAATGTTTCTCGACGAATTTGTTTTGATTGTTCCGAATCAGGTTGACCATGTCTGTAAGTGCTTGCATAAACACTTGTTTCTAGTGGAGATGATGGTGATAATGTTGTCGTCGTTTTTTCACTATCATTATTTATTGGTTGTATTAATTGAATTTGAGATAGCGTATGTGGTGCAGTTGAATCACGATTATAATCATCAGCATATGATGTTATTTTAACACCATCAACATATGTTTTACGATCAACATTTTTTGGTATCCAACTAACAAATAATGGATCGAATTCACCACGTATATTAGTTTGTGCTTTGCGTTTACCGAAACCCTTTAGATAAAGAATTTTTAAATATTACATTAGATTTGATATATATATATATATTTATATTTGTTTTATTTTTTTTTACCGTTTGGGTACCACGAACAAGTGGATCACATTCAAATTTAAAACGATTATCATGTCGAGAAAATGCATGAGTAGTAGCTTCAGCCTAAAATTAAATGAAAAAGATAGATTAATAAACATAATATATAGAAAAGAAAATTTGTTTTACTTTTTGTCGATCGAGAAATTTTTTAGGTGGATTAGGCTGAGCTAATTGACGAAAATAATTGCATAAATCAGCACGTGATCTAGCTCTAAAATGCCCATAATAACCAGATGGAAACTGATTATAAATAAATAAATAAATATAATTAATAATAATAATAATAAAAATATAATCGATTTGTGTTTAGTAAGATTTCTTACCCATGAACCAACAACTCTTTGTGCATCAGTTGATGTGGCTAATGATACTTGTCTAACTTGAACTTGACTCATATCCAGTAACTATCGTTTATAATCAAATACAAAATTTTAAACGTTGACCATTTGTTTGTAATCCGTACAAAATAATATATACCTTTCGTGTTTGTGTTGTTAACAGCGACACACGACGACGACAACGCCGTCGTAAAAAAAAAAAGAGGAATTTGCATGAGAAAGAAAGACAAACTAAAAGAGAAAAATTGTTGTGAACGACACTTAAAAAAAAATATATTCTCTACTACACGACGACTACATTGACACTGTACTGCTTGCACAGTGAAGCAATACTACTAATTTTCCGTTTTATTTTGTTGATTTAAAGAAAGAACGAGAGAAAGAAGATTAATTTAAAAAAAAGTTTGTTCTGATATTTCATTTGAAGCCAACTAAATCATTATATATAGGTATTCATTAGATGATTTTTGAAGATAGTCTTGAATGTTTGTTTTTTTGTTAAATTTCATTCTTATGATTGTAAAGGACAAATATGCAATGATTAGAACATCCATTAAAATGAAAATCAAGTATTTATCATAGAATTTCAAATGCAAAATTTAAATAGCTCATCATTGTAAACACTTATAACTAAATTATTCTTTTTTTTTTGTGATTATTTTAAATGGTATAGGAATTAGATGAAAGAATAAACTATTCCATATCACTTATTTGGTTATCAAACTAAAAATTTGTAAGACGAAGAAAAAATTTTTTTTTGTTATAGTCCGATAAAGATTATTTATTCTTCATACGAATATAATCCTTCTTTTTTATTTTTTGTAGCTATATCATTCATCACGATATATAGTAAGGAACAAAATTATTCAACAAGATTTGGTTTTTTTCCTACTGACTTGAGTGCGAGAAAAAAATTCAAATAGAGAAAATTGTTTCCAATAAGAATTGAAGTATTCCCAAAGATAGGATCTCCAGAAAATTGAAATTCGAGGTTTTTAGAGTCTAGAATACATAAATATAATTTCGTTTAGACTGCATAGAATCATAGAGAAAAGAATTCTCTACAAAATGAGATATCTTCGAGCTCTCTGCGATGTTTTTCTGATGAGATACAGCAAACTATTCAATGTTTAACTTTACATGCTACCGTAATATTGGTGTATCTCACAAAAAAAAATGTCATAGAGAACTTGGAGACTTGTCATTATGTAGAGAGTTGTTTGCTCTATTACTCTATACAGTCTAAATGCAATTATATTTATGCATTCAAGGCTTCGGAAATCTGGAGTTTAGATTTTCTGTAAACCATGTCTTTGAGAATCTAATAATAATTTTTATTTTATTATATTGTTGTTGGAAACAATTGTTTCTGCTTGAAACCACAATTTGCATTTTCTCGAGCGCTTAAGTCAGCGAAAAAAAAAATGGAAAAGAAACCTTGTTGAATAATTTTGGTGCCGATTGTATAAATTGAACAAGGACATGAAATGCTAATTCAGCCAAATATAGACTAGGTTTTTTTTTATTTTTCTATAAATTAGATCTCTATTTATTTTGTCTACCACGACAATTTGATCGAGCAATGTCGAAAAATATATGACGAAATCTATGTATAAAATTGTGGCTATACACTTTGAAGTACAAAGCTATTCTTATGAAAAATATGAGCCATTATATTAAACAAAGATTTCTT